AATGGAAAACGATGAAAAAATGAGGAAAATTATGAAAAACCAAAGAAAAATATTGGAAAACGAGGAAAAACTGAGGAAAAATGAAGGAAAACCAATGAAAAACCAAGGAAAAGTAATGGAAAACAAGCAAACCGTGCCCACGACCAAAAAAAAAAAACAAAACAGGAAAAAAAAACAAAAAAAAATCCGCACCCGGTTGTAAAATACGGTACGACCCAAGAAATATTGTAATTGATCGGATTTGAGAGAATTTGAGCAAACATCTGCAACTAGAGCGCGTTGCTGAGGTCAGTGCAGCCCACCATGCATGACCTCACTGATGTCAAATGCCCCGTGGATCAAATGTTTCATATCCCAAAGATGACTTGTCACTGCAGCCTACAAGCAGATGTGCAGGGGAAGAAGAAGCAACAAGTATCGTTTCAGGGCTGATGGGGGACAAGCCTGCACCATGCCTACGCCAAAGCGCTTTGCTCGCCGTCCTGGAAATTGTTAGTTCTGATTTTTGTGCATGCATGGTGGCCTCAAGTTTCATTTTGGCTCTGCCAGATCCACTATCAGCCCCATCCCATTTTGGCAGCCGAATGAATGCAAACATCGGCGCAACAGAGGCAGCCAGCTGACAGCAGTGCTGCATCGCCGTGCGGCGCTGCGCTCGAGTTTCCCGCCGTTGGGTGACTGTTCGGCCAAGGCCCAGATGAATCGCAAAATTTCACCAGCTGCCTATCTTCGCTAGGCTGGGTTGCTTCGGCCGATGCCACCTTGTAAGTTCAGCATGACAGAAACGGGTCGATGCCAAGTCTGCAAGACAGCGTTGGCTGGTTCTGCAAATTTTCGCTGCTGATGCTTCATCCCGCATGGCTTCATCCGATGTCTTGACAGGTGTCGGACAAGTTTTCATAGCATGCAATAATTCGGGCAGCGATTTGCAAGCTTCTCCCCGTGCCGCATAAAATGGAGGGTTGCGTGCAAGGGAAGAGGGGAAGGTCGGGAAGACAGTATATCTCATGGCCAACAAACCAACTTCACATGCAAACCTGATGGTAACGGAGGTGCATCAAGCGTTGAGATCCGGAACGTTTGCTGGTGCTGCTGCCAAACGCCGTGGTGGGGCGCATGCCAGGGAAATTTTTGTAGAAGACAGGTGAGTGCGCGGGATGGTCTCAGGGATGTTTGTCCTACCGCTCACCGAGCATGCAGCATATTCGAGTTTGTTCCGACTTTCAAAGAAGCACGTGAGATCACAAGCTTGCCTCGCATCGCATTGCGCACACAGATTTTGCAGTTTTGGATGTTTGCCTGCCCTAGCCACCGGAGGCTGTCACGCAGAGAGTTTAGAGAAATGCTATGAAATAAGAGCAAAGGCTGCTGGCGTGGCAACCCCCTTAGCTTGCACGTGCGCTGAGAAAATAATCCATTGCACGTACCTGTGCAGAAGGGTTTATGCTGCTCCCAAAGCGCAATCCTTTCACGCATTGAAGCCGTGCTTGGAGAGCAGATGCCATATGCTGGCACCTAAGACCAGCTTGGCTCATGTAACAAGGACAGATCACATGCAGCATGCGAAGTGCTTAGCACAACGATTGGACAACAATGAAACCAAACATGCTGTAGCACAGTTTCTTGCCAGAGCCCAGCTCCAGCTGACGCCTTTTCCCATCCTTTTTTTTGCGGCTCCAGCCGGAGAAAACGTAGTTTCTTTTCGCAGGAAATGGACCCAATCCAAGCTCTGCGGATAGGTCTCGGTCCGGTTATAGCAAGTAGGAAGCACTTTCTGGTAGGCCGCGGCACCTGTTCTGGCCATGCCACATCTTTTTTCATTCAGGCATCCTCCATGTTCAACGCGTGAACCCAGTGAAGGCCAACCGAAGCAGTTCCATCATATGCGAGAGGCATTGCATTCCATTTGGAAGTCACTGCAGCGGGCCACAAGGGGCAGTACGTAATGATGGTGGAACTTCATAACGTTTTGCGCCTTTTTCAGCGCATCCATTTCTACAAGGGTATGTGCCGCCCTTAGCACCTTAGCCCTTCAACCATAGCTGCGCTGGCCACAAGCAGTGGCCAACGTCTAGGCAAGGCTGACACTGCTTGCCGCAGTGATCTCAACAACAGCAGCAACAACAACAGCAACAACAGCAACAACAACAACAGCAGCAACAGCAACAACAACAACAACAACAGCCCGTGTCTTTGTGGCGCTTCAGGGCCGCAAGCAGATCACAGAATCATGCCTAGAAAAATGAATCTTGCGTTTTCATCATGAAGCATGGAATTGAAAATGCCGAGCCGCAGACACATCTGCCAAATTATAAATAAGCATCATGGGGGGGGCTTCAAACTTTATTGTTTTCTACACGACGGTTTGTGTGGAACCATCACGTTGTGGGTTCTGAAGTCTGAAATCCGGAAAGGCGTCAGTGATTCCCAAGACATCAAAATACGTGACCCGAAAGATCAAGTTTGCTCCCAAAGTGCTCGTAATATTTTGGGTTCCTCAATGGCCAAGGCAATGGTTTCATCAAAACCACAACGTAGAGCTTCCTTGGCTTTGGCTGCTTCCAAGAGGACCCTTTTGCACAACGCCAGAATTCTGGTTGATTTTCAGCATCCTTTACTTAACAGCGCCCTCGCTGCCAGCTTCAATTACCACCATCAGATACAAACGCAAGTGTTAAACTTCTGCAGTGCTCACACCTGCAAATTATCCAAGCCGGCAAGCATAGCCCTGAATCTACAAAAGCTTCACAAGGGCGGTTTTTTCCTGTTGGACCGGGCACTGCAATGTGCCAAGCGCCACTGGGAAGGCTAATCGTACAAGTCGCTGGCTCCTTGGCGGAAGGCCTCATGATTATGGAGCGTGGAGGTGATGCGCCGCAGGGTCGCAGAGATTTTTCCTAGACCTCCTTTCGGTAGCACCGTCCTTCAGTGTATGTATCATTGAGCATGCAAGTTCAAGCATGGTGATGCTCACGCAAACTTCATGGAATAGAAGGGTGCCAAAACTTTCGCTTTTTTTTGGCCTCAGTAGACCTTGACACGTCCCGTGTAAAATGCTTGATGGTCCAGGGTTCTTGCAGCTAAGGGGGGCCGAATATAGATTCACCCCAGGGGGGATTTTTGTGAGCGCTATGGCCAGGAGCCAGACTATGGAGACTGGTAAGGCCCGGCTTTACATTCTGGTTGCCTGAGGGTGCTGTACTAACATTGTAAGGGGAATAGCGGTCCGGTTAGCTACAACAGCCAGCGCCTGCAAACATTCATTGCAAACGTTGCTGCAAAAAAGTTTTTTTACTGGAGTGCAGCGGCACTATCCCTGTGCTACTGTGATGGCTCATGAGTTGCCGTCCAAACCCTTTCCACGTGGCGTGACTTGGAGAAAGCATTTTTCAGGCGTATCAGAAACCCATGGAAGACATGACGCCAAGTCCAAGGGGTCTTGAAGGTCCACTTGTTTGACAGCTTGCGTCTTTCAATGTCTTTCACCTTGCTTGGCTGGATGCACGGCTGCAGGCGGAGCGCTCCAAGCTTAGCAGCTTAGCACTGCCCTCCGGGAAGCCCAGAAATCAATTTTCTGATAACGCTCTGCTCCGAGCCTGCAACCGCCTACCGCCATGTGCCCGGGCCCAGACCTTCGCAGAATTTCAAAAGCTGTGGAATTTCTTCGCCCAACGGAAAGTTTTGCAACCAAAACTGTCCCTTCAACACTGCCGACATGAGTATTCAGGTAGCATTCAGGTTGGACACTGCGTGTGGCCACCTTTGCTCTAGTTGCAAGTGAATTGAATTCGTCGCCCTAGTAACACGGGCGACACGGAGCTTGCAGAAGTCAGCTGCAGTTTAATATACCTGGGACGCATACCCCTTCCCCGTGGTGATTTGCTGAGCAGCTCAGTCTGTCGGGTCCCCCTGCCCAAGAGGTTAGGAGGTCTTGCTTCCTCTTCCGTTGCCTTTTCAAATCTTGTGCCCACGCAGAGAGGCTTTCACCACGGACAGTTTTGAACAGTCCCGGTTTGCCCACTTGAGTTGCTGGAAAGATATGTCTTATTTGGTCCAGGGCTTGGGACGGCTTAGATTTCCTGGCAGGCATTGCCCATGAAGAATCCTTGACCGCTGCTCTGATGTCTGTGATGATTCTTGAAACGCTTCTGAGGTAAAGAAGTTTGATCAGAAACTTTGTGCCAAGCTGGCCCCCGCAACTCTTAGAAGTAAAACCTTGGCTGCCTCCACATGAGCCACGTGTTAAACCCTTGCGTTCATGTTTAGGAAGGGGCCCCTTGTAAGGGTGTGGCGTAAGCAAAACTCTGGTGAGCGTAAGCCAGCGACGAGGGGTCAATGAAGTGGGAAAAATGATGATCGTGTATTCATGCAAAGTCCAGCAGGACATTCCAGCAGGACATCGTTGCTTCCAGTCCCTGCGTCGCGTTATTGCGAAACCCGCCTGGCTTGGCCCATGTATCCGTGTAAAGCACAGCGAAAAGGCCCGGGGCAGTGGCAAAAGCTGCCGGATTGGGTGAAAGTCTCAAAGCACCGGATGTGGGCCGTCAACTTCCCGGCAGACGCCCGTAAGCTCAGCGTAAGACAAGATATCCGCATAAGCAAAACCTGTTTGCGCATGAGAAAAACGTGAGCACCGACGAAGACATTCCTTTTTTTGTGCCAGGATTCAAGACATTCAGAACATGGCTCACATGCCGAAATTCAACATTGGGTAAGGGTTGTGCTGTTCTTCTTGGGTTCTTTCCACAGCTCTAGTCAGTGGCAAAATGACGTGGTAACGACGTGGTATTAAGCAAGGTTGCTCTCTGCCCATCAAAGCTTGTCTTCTCGTAAAGAGCGACCTGTTTCACCACAGGCAGGCGTTGAAAGCCAAAGGCAGTAGCTAGCGCCAATGATTTGACTTGAGCATGGGTGGTGGACCAAGGGCTGCGGAGAGGAACAACAACGCAAGATATCCGCATAAGCAAAACCTGTTTGCGCATGAGAAAAACGTGAGCACCGGCGTACGCATTTCCTTTTTCGGTGCCAGGATTCAAGACATTCAGAACATGGCTCACATGCCGAAATTCAACATTGGGTAAGGGTTGTGCTGTTCTTCTTGGGTTCCTTCCACAGCTCTAGTCAATGGCAAAATGACGTGGTATTAAGCAAGCTTGCTCTCTGCCCATCAAAGCTTGTCTTCTCGTAAAGAGCGACCTGTTTCACCACAGGCAGGCGTTGAAAGCCAAAGGCAGTAGCTAGCGCCAATGATTTGACTTGAGCATGGGTGGTGGACCAAGGGCTGCGGAGAGGAACAACAACGGGGGGGCGTTGGCATCAATGAATTGCGCGACGTGTGAAAAGATCAAAAGGAAAAGGCTGACTGCATCGCCGGCATTACTGCTATGTTGGTTGAACAGCCAGATCTTGTTTGCGAAGTGCTCACGCTGAGATGCACAAGGCCTTTTTCTTGCCTCACGGTCTTGGGCGATGCTTTTAGAAGAGAAAGGTTGCAAGGTCTGATTCTGAGGGCTTGTTCAGACAAAGTTCAAGGCTTGAAGGCCGAAGGCTTGTCCTGAAGCAGGCAAGTTTCAGAATAGTCTCGTTGAAAGATCTGTGCGAAAGCTGCTTCCCCCGCTGAAAAGCCATCGTGCTTTTGGTCAAATTAGACACCCACAGATCCTGGCAGAAGATGCGCGCTGACAACCCTTTTAGGTTTCAGTTCGCCTTTTTCTTTCAGACAGCGAGTTTCACTGCTCAGCACTGACCGCAAAGTGCTAATGTGACCCTTTCGGTCCGGCAGCTTGCCTTCGCTTGGACAGGAAAGTTGCGAATATCTGATTGTCAGTCCCACCACGTGTCTTTGGCCAGGGTGATAGCCTAGAACAGAAACGTGTTGGAGCCCAGCGATGCGCAAGAAAGGAAACAATGACAAGCGAAATCGGCCCAAACCTGATCTATCCTCGGCATACCTGACATCGGCTTGACTTTGTTCCAGTCCTTTCCAACTCTCACTTTTCACCTTGCATCCAAATTTCTTGCGGCAGCACATGCTTTGCCCAGCAAAGAAGGAGCTACTCCCACAACATGCCGCGAAGGTTTAGCGGTGTAGCCCCGCATTTCTGCCATATTCGCGCACTGAATGAAGGCATGATACGAACTACAAGTACCAAAAGCGTGTACAAACAGTTATTCAAAAGCTCGTGCAACATTGCACGAACTTTCGGTACCTCTCATTATTGTAAGAACTTGGGCAGAGCAGACCATCAACAGCACACCTCAACGAATAAACCTTCCAAGTACCTGCATGTGCCTCAGACTTGCTCGGACCTTGAACTTGAACTGATTTTTGAACATCCAAAGTTCGGCTTGCAACGTGAGACAGCTCATTTCGATTGCGTGCAGACGCACGGCTCTGTTCTTCCATTCGCGCCCTTAATCGACATTTGTTGATCAAATTGCAACATCATTCCGAAATACATCTTTCCATAGGGTAGACTCAGTAGACAGATCAAGTGTGACCTTGCCAGTTCGAGGCCGGTCTTGGTCAAGGAAGTTTTTTCAGTTCTGACTGCACCCCAGGGCATTTGTAAGACAACGATAAGATATAGGCAGCCTTGGTTGCCTCAGGCTCTTTCGTCGCACGTCCTTTACAATCGCAAGGGAGATCGGATTCAGATCTCCTTGACCTGCATTTTTGATGGAAAAAGGTGTGGGGGCGCAACGCTCGACGTGATTCGATTTGAGCTGAGCTTTTAGCAGCCTGATATCTACGCTGTATCACCTGTAGCTGCACCAAGCTGTGCGCTTCAAGCGAGCTTCAAAATGGGAGCTTAGATTTTGAGAACGCCGGCGGCAGTTGCATCTAAAATTTTCCCGGAAAATCGGTAGCCCAAGTTGCCTGGAAGTGCGGTTCATGTTCATTAGCTTGTCGCTCAAAAAAACATTCCTTCTCCCAGGTGGTTTCGTAGCATGCCTCCGACAGGGCAAGCAAAGATCAGATTCAGATCTCATTGATCTGCCGCTTTGATGGCGCAACATGATTCTCCCCAGTTGGTGTTGAAGGGCTACTGCGGGGTGCTAGCAAGACAAGTGCATCATGACGGCCTCCACAAGAGCTTGATGCCAGAGGCTTCGTCATCCTGATTCCTTATGACTTCATCTGGTTTTCTTTGGGTTGGACTTCGATCTCCTGCTGTTGTTTTTTTCAATCCTTCTACTCCGTGTCCTCCAATTCTAATTTTGTCCGACATATTTGGGCATTTCATCCCTTCCGGTATTGGCAGATGTGAAAGTACGGAAGCTCTCCCCTTCGACCCGGCTACAGTTGCTGAGACGTTGGCGTGATGCCTCTCAGCACAAGCCTTTAGCTTGCATGCCTATTGTTTGACCCACAGAGTGACGATGTTCTCGCCTTGCGGTGCGAACATGATACCTGCGGCATTTGTCCAGGTCCTGCAGGTGGCCGTTTTCCCTGAAGACCTGAGAGTTATCTCCAATGATGGAACCTTTCTGACTTCCACCGCGGCTTTGGCAAGCTGAAGAGGCCAAGACGCAGAAGCGCACGCGCTATGCGGCAAGATTTTTGCGCGCCTTGGAACGCTTTTTGTAGGGGGTAAATTTATTCTGTCACGACTCCATGAAGAGGGGCTTGCTCGCATGCAGGGACTACATCTCAAAAAAAAGGGTGGGCCAATGGTTTCTAAATAAATTGAGCAGCTCCTGTGCAAGAAACCGGCGGTTTATGATCTTATGGTTTTTTCTTTCTTTTCAGTTTCTTTTTTGTTTAATGTTTACCCGTCTTGTGCCAGGTGCCGTGGCCATCGGACTTGGACTGCAAGACGAACATTCTTCGGGGTCATGGCGCCCCAGCCTTGTGCAAGCCACGGAAGCACAGATGGCACGCGATGAACCTGATGAGCCATGACCAACACGAACATTAGGTGTCCATCTCTGGGACATCACTACATGCATTTTGGTCCATTTGTCCAAGAATTGCTGCAAACGCCGCAGAAAATGATTAGAGCCAGGGGACCAGAAGATCTTGCAAGATCTCCGGCAAAGTTCGGCCAGCATGATGTTCACGGTGCTCGCGGGCTCGCGCGGGCTCGTGTGTTGGCAAGTTGCAAACTTTGGGACGTCCGGCGCTTAGAGCGTGACAGCAGGAGCGAGCATAGCTATCCAAATGAGGTAATAGATGCCAATAGTATATTGCGATTTTGTTCCGCCGCATCACATTGCGTACATGCACATGCCTTTGAGTGGTGCGTTGCAGGGATCCTGTGCGTTCGTTGAAACAATGTTTGCCTGCAGATTTGTGTGCGCCCGTTCCTTCTGTGAGATCTGGCACCCACATGTTTTCGTCCAATGGATCTTTGGATGGATTAGTTTCCCTAAATAGGATCTCTCTTTATATGTCACCTCTACAGCGCCCATGCTGCCCATCAGGTCTTGGCTGCAAGCAGGGCTGCGCATCTCTAACACATGTGACCTTTGCCACAAGAGTGCTCCCGATGGCACACCATGCAGCAGGTGCAGCGGTACAATTCTGAGCTCTGATGAAGACCGACTTTTCCGAAGACACAAAAGGAGAAAACAGAAGAGAACGGCAAACTGTTGCAAACAGCATGTGAATACATGTGCATAATGTGAATATATGCGAATCCTGTGAATCATGTGAATATCATCCTGTACTCATAATGTATGCAGATTATGTTTGAAAGGTGCCCATTCTTTCCAGCCATGTCATTTCTTCTCCTAAGTGCTTACAATAAGCAGTGGAGGCGCATGCAATGAGATTTTAAGCAACTGCTTAAATGGTCTGTCTATATTAGTAACTCTGCCAGCGTGTCATTGAGTTTTGAACACTGTATGAGTATGAGATGAATGAGAATTTGCGGTTCGGAATTTATGCCGCTGGCACTCTTCTGTCATGATAGACGTCATGATCATAGAAACCTCGTATGTCAGTTCAGCCCGCAGATCTAGAAAATGTTTCACAATGTTTCACATTCCCATTGTTTCTGGTCTAACCCATTCTGAACATGTCTGAACCGTATCCCTGAGACAGGCGTCCTCCTAGCCAGCTTGGACGCATCCACAATGCCTGCTGGGCAAATCTTTACCTTGCGGCTTGGGAGCGAGGACTGCCAAAAGCTACGGCAGCTAAGGCAGATGGTTTCATGATGTTTCATGATATTTGATGATGTTTCATGAGGTTAGACACAAGGAAACCTGAGCTTGATGATTTTCACATGCTTGCCACAATGCCACAAATGCCAGGACAGAGCGATGGGAGACAGTGGCCTGCGTGAACCTCACGGGGCAGCAAGGAATATTATGTCAAAAAATGTCAAAAAGTTACAATATGTTACAATATTGCACAATGTAAATCACTGTAATAACATTTGGCACGGCTCTTTTCCTGCAACCCTTTTGGCAGTGCGGTTGAGGTCCTTATTCGCGTCGCTAATCTCTGTAACCTCTACATCCGTGATTTTCAGTGTGCTAATCTCATACTTTACAGCAGCCAATCTTCTTTGACATGAGAAGATGAGCTTCTAAATGTGGAACGTGCTTTCATGAGCTTCTAAACTCCATTTGCTCCTGATTTCTGCTGAGGCTCCTTCCCAATCTCTGCAATTAAACTGCACAGGCTGCAGCACCCTCTCAGAGGTCTGCGGCACTTGAGGTGTTTTCAGTTTCAGGACGGCTTCCATCCGAATGTTTGTTCCCATTTCACTGGTCACATTATGCCACTACGGTTACCGTATATTCGTTTTGACAGGTCTACCTGGCACTGAACTGCAGCGTAAATGCGTGCAGTGCGGCAACAGGACCTGCAGTTTTGGCACATTTTGGCACATTTTGGCACATTGTGGAATTCTGCAGGATTTTCGATGCTCGACTCACCGATGCTCCAGGACAGCTGCAGCTCCTCTCACTGCCTCTGGAGGTGCCATGGGGCGCCATGGGGCGCCATGGGGCGCCATGGCCAAGGGCCTGTTGGATCGGACACCGAGGCGGATACACCCTTTAGACAAAGTTGTTTCTTTTTTAAAGAAATGTATATATTTAGTTGCGTCGAAGCTTTCCCTGGAAGTCGTGCCTTTTTGCAAAACGCAAGCAAACTCTGGTGATCACAGCGCAACCATGTTTTAAAGTGTTTTTGTGTTTTTTCTTGCGTTCAGCTTGGGTTTAGGTATCTAGTTATGCTTAGGGTATATGTAGTTTTTGTTGCGTTCAGTCGGGGGGATTTTTTTTGTTGCAGATGTTTCTTATCAGTGACTTCTGTACGTTCAACTGTATTCAGCAACTACTCCTGAACCTTCCTTCGATACATTAAGAAGTGCTCAGAAACAAAAAACGCTCATTTCCAAAAAAGTGCTACAATAGCTCAAAAAGTGCTCATTTCCAAAAAGTGCTTAAAAAGTGTTCAGAAACAAAAAACGCTACTTGGGCTCTCCACAACCAACATCATTCGCCGCTGCTGCAAGTAAGTCATCAAATTCACTTAAAATCAAGTTCTTTTGAGCTTGGTCCCAATGTGCATCCTCCCCAGGAAGCATAAATTAGGAGATAGATGCTAATTTAGATGCAAAACTCGCTTCCAGGATTGGCCTCAACTAGCTTGAGTGTGGGCTAACTTCGTGGATTTCTCCAAGAGTTTAATAGATCCATAGGTGTAAAATGGGTTAGAAAGGTAGAACCCCAAAAAGTGCTCATATCCATTGAAACCGCCAAAAAGTGCGCAGACCCTTAAAAAACGCTCAGGAATGGCAGAAAGTGTATCCAACCAGGGGTTTGCCAGAAAAAAGTGCTACAATGGAATCTCCAGGCTGTTAAACTGCTGCTCAATTGCTGGCTGTTGCTCAGTTGCTGCCGCTGGCTACTGCCAAACTGCTGCTGGATTGCTTCTGAACTACTACCGCTAGGCTTCCGTGGATGCTACTCACCTGGAGCCTGGCATCCACTACGAGATTTGCATTGATTTGGATGGCAACTTGGCATATGCCATGTTTACAATGTTTACCTCTGGTATCAGATTTACCTTTGTCATCATTGATTTCATGTAATTTGGGTAACCCCGATCATTGAATATCATTGATCTTGATGAAAAATGATAAGCATTTGTATCATCTGTATTCATCTGTCACATATTGAATATGTGACTACATGTGAATACCATGTTCCATGTTGGCATTCGATGCGAAGGGCAGAATCGCGGTGTTTTTTCCACGTGTTTCAGTTGTTCTTCAGATGCAGATGATATGCAGATGCAGCAGATGCAGCAGATGTCGTAGAACTGTCCTTGCGGATTGTTGGGTCCCTGGGTGGACTTCAGGTGAAGAGCTCACAGACTTCCCCAGCGGGAAAGCTATGTGGCAAGTCTATGCATCAGCAGTTGAAGCCCCAAATGACAGCAGAAAAGCTTCGGACCGATGCTCACTTGCAGTCACAGCCAAATGGCCAAATGGAACCGCACTTGCAGCAAAACCGCAAGTTTGTCTCAGTAGAAACAACCCAAATCTCATGGCATTTTAAAGTTCTAGAAAGGCAGAGTTCAAGACAATCAAGTCCGATGTGTGTTTTAAATTGTTCATCAACTCAACGTTTCATCGCGCCAAGTTTTCCTCTCCTGGGCACTTCTCACTGCCGCTGTCACCCAGTTCGCAGTTGAAGGCAGAAGACCTCGTCGTGCCGTTGTTCATCGTGTAGTTTTCCTCGGATTTAAGATGACAGGACAATTCAATTCAATTTCAATTCAAGATTCAACATTCAGTAATTTGGCTATGTAAATGCCAGTCCAATTTGAAGGTGTAGCAAGCTCGCCAGCGATGCCATCAGGTTGTCACAGTTCGCAACAAGCATCGAGCATTCCTGTGGCACCCGGTGATCGCAAACCTGCAGGTTCCCTGCCTTGGCTGCTCCTCAGCACAAGGCTTCTTGGCAGACAGCTGTCCTGCCCTCACAATGCCAGGAGAAAGAATATGAAGCTGCTCAATTCGAGGAAAGATTGGCACAAGTTTTTCCTATTTAGTGTGTCACTGTGAATCAATTGTGAAACTGCATTTGTCGAACTTTGGCCCTCTCCACTAGTTTAGGCCCTTCGAGGAATCTACAGCCAGAGGAGTGAGCAGAGGGATCAGAGCAAGCACCACAAAGTCTATTTTCGTTTGTGAAGAGCAACACTTTTGCCACAAATTTGTTCGAATGCACTTCCGCGCTTCCTGATGGCAAGGATGCCATGAACTATTCGAACGCATCCAGGCCTGAAGTGGCTCGAACGTGGATTTGTAAAGAACAATGTTTGACATATCAACCAGCTCGGCCAGGAAAGGTACCTGGTACACATCTAAATGTCAAATGTACCTGACATACAAATATGGAGATAGAGACACCCAAATCCTGAAGCGACTTTGGACTCCAAAAAAACGACAAGATGTGCCAAGTCAAAGATATCGAAAGCCCATCGTCTCCTGGATCCTGCAGGTTTAGTGATACATGTGGCCACCCCAGAGCACATTCAGAGCACACGCAGAGCGCATGCAGAGCTCAAGTTGAGAGACATCATGTAAAAATATGTAAAAAAGATGTTACAAAATGTAAGGTCCACATATTTAAGTAATTTGAAATATATCTAAAGATTCTGGATATTGCGGATTCCAATTTCATCCAATTTCCACAAGCATGGAACATGTCGTACATGTCGTATGACTTGCAGGTCTTGGTGGCTCCGAAGCTGCAACTGACGCGACGTCTTTCGTGACATCTGGGGAGGAGCTGTGACGAGTATCTTCAGAGTTCCTAGCATTTCCTAGAGCTGTCCGTGTCAAATAGATACCTTAATGGAATTTAATGGATTCAATATAATATCTTGGCCCCTACTACTTGTAAGACATCTAATTAAATACCTGCTACAACGCAGGTACACCTATTGTTGTTCAAAATGAAAATAGTATACTTTTCCAAACCTTGGTCGGTTGTTAACGTACATGAACGGTTGTTTACGTCCATTCAAGTTGCTGTCGGATATTTACGTCCACCGAACGCTTTTTCACGTCCATGGATTTGGGTCAAAATTGGATACTATTGAAAGCCCAAAATGTGCTAGAAACACTGCAAAAAAACACAATGTGCATACAGACCTATCAACAGCATGTTTCTTCCACACACCCCCAGCGTCCCACCAGGAACCACACATTTCTTCCCTTTTCACTATCGCAATCTTTGCACACAGCAAAGCACCAAGTACATGAATTAGGAACGGGACCAGGCGATTTGGATATGTACCAGGTACCTCTGCAATGTTCTCAAAGAAAGCAAACGCGGGGACACGCACCTGGTGACATAGGCCTGACGCCCTATGAAGTCCTCGTCCATAGAGCACGAGTATATGCAGGGATTAATGCAGAAACCAGCTCTAGCTGCCTGCCAACGCATACAATGACGAATTTCGTCCAGGGCATGCAACTTGGGATACATCCCAAAAGCAGCAAACTCATTGTGAAACGATGCGCTGGCTTGATAGCAGTACGCTTTGATAAAAACGTACAAAGAATCCGACAATTCGAAAGCTTCCCGGGCCCTGATGAACACGTCATGTTGGTAGATGCCCCTCATGAACTTATTGATCTGTTGAGTGCCTTTGGCCTTAGTATATGTCTCAAGGAACATATATATAATATTTGTTTCACACTGGGAACACCAGGAAAAAACATCAGGGATGGGATGTTAAAAAAAACATAGGGATCACCAGGAAAAACACCAAAAAACAAAACACAAAAAAACACAACCATTTAGACAAGAATACACAAAAACTATATTGAGCTGAAATTGCAAGACAAAGGTCCAAAACACGGAGCTGTTCTGTTGTCAAGATTTCAGCATTCCTGCTCATGTAATCCTCCAAAAACAAGAGGAAATTGGACGTGATAGCTGCTTTGTTCCAGCTAGCATTCTTTTCATCTGCCCCAACGCCACCAAATGTGTTCACATCGATCTTCCTGATGATAGGATCTATGTGATTTCTCCTGCAAAACTGTCGATACTCAGAGGCAATAAAGGCGATACGAAGGTCAATGTTCGACTCATCCACATATTTTTGAAGAAGCATGGCTGCCCCTGCTGCCCATGACTTTCCAACCCCCAAATGTAAGGAGTGCCACACGTCAAACACATGGAAGCGCTGTTTCGCCCCAGGGTCATGCATTAGATACTTTGTCAGGGCACATTCCATTTCCCAAGCCGGTGGTGGGGGAGTAGAGTATGACTCCGTCATGACACGATCAGCAGCCTTCCTAAGTCGAATCAAGTTTGGTCAATGTAAGATGCATCTTAATTCACTTGGGATTATCAATCAAATTCATCCCTCTTTTATGATGTCAACACACATCTATAGATCAGGAAAAGACACTATATAATATAAAGTTATATATCAATGTTTGTATATATAAAAACAAACAACACACCCGAGGCTCAGGTCTTCCCAGTCAACACCCATGCCGCATACGCAAAGGTGACAGATACCAGCTCCCTGGACACCAAAGTCAGCATCCTTGGCCCCCTTAGGAGCACGTCTGTAGGACCTCTCAAGGTTTGCGCTTGATACCTCAGACATGGCAAGCGTGTGTGGCACACACAATGTTAGTTTGCATGAGCATTATGCATGATTTGGCATGAAACAATATCAAAAGTCAGTCCGCAAAATGTTTCAAAAAAAAGACCTTATATATAAACATGCACATAACTTACTGTAATTGAGAGGAGTTGCTAGGTAGCTCCAGTCCCCTTTGTTGGCAAGAATTATGGGCCAGAATGTCCCTTGATGCGATGCAATCCCATCCCTTGCAGCTGCAGCCAAATCCAGACTCACCATTTCGAAGAGTGCATTCCACACCCGACGATCATCGCTGTAGAGGTCCTGTAGCAATCAAGCACAGCCAGAGGAAGTATATAGGGAAGGGATGCATGTGAAAAAAATACAAATATGGATCCACAGGCATATCTATACATAGTGCATATATATAATCAACACACTTAAACATATACAATATATATATATATAAAAACATTGTTAACCAAAAAACTTTACATGGTAAACCTTTTGGTTTGGGTGTGTGTGGGCATTTGAGATAGAAACTTTTGTCAGTGTGATGGGGTCATGTGTTCTAAGTCAGGCATGCATATACCCAGCATCAGTCCTTGTGACACATGAGTATCAGCATGCGTGTTTGAACACCTGTTTGTAGGAAATTCAATCTGATCCCTTCTGCAAGGGATCCAGGGTTGTCAGACTTTCGCTTGCTAGAGCCTCGTCCCAGCACACCCTGCCAACTCAAGCATAGGACCCCAGATCGCTTGTATGTGGTTCCCTCGTCGCCATGTAATAGCAAAGGGATAGATCTCTCAGGGGTTTTGGCACCAGAGTCAAAGTCAGCAAAAACTTGGTGATTCGGAAACAGCCGTCTATACAAAGTCCAAAACTCTTGTAGGAGATCTTTGGCATCATCTATGGTCTTTCGTCCACCCAGTACCCGGGATAAATCATTCATGCGGGACATTGCATGCAAGAACTTGGAAGGCGGTAACCATGGAAAATTTTGGATAGGTGGTTCCTGTGCAAACTCAATCTCCAGAGGGTAGAAGAAATTCTCTCGTTTTAGAACTTTCACAATAGCTTCCTCCTTAGTTTCATTGAGACTCCATTCCAGTACTAACCCCAACAATTTCAACATTGAATCGATCCAATAATTATATATATTTATTTTTTTGGGATTTCAGGCATTCAGGGGATAAATCAAGATCAAATCAAAACCTGTAACCCTATATAGTTGAGCCTCTGATCTTCTTGGATCTACCCCTTGCAGTGCAGTGAGAACAGGGCATAGATTACCTGTCCGCCCGCTGTCGCGCACATCTCGCCCTTCTGCAGCTGCAAATTGAAGAATGTCAGCACAGTTTTCCTGAGATAGGATGGCTGACAACTACTCATGGTTCAGAAGTGCGTGGGTATATACATGCAAATCATGACAGGAAAGATACACGGATCCACACATTGTTCATCACACACTTGGATGGTATTGTGTGCATGGCTATATGGTGAGGTTATAAGTTATATATATATAATATGGTTGGTCTTGCAGGTCACTAGCTCATACCATGCCTCCTGCCAACATCAAACATAACGATAAAGCCTCAGGGCCTAAGACAATTCTCCATATTTAAAAGCAGTGCATGTACAGAGAAACCATCATAAATTCACCAATGAGGTTCAAACACCCACATCATCAATATATAACCTATATATACAGTACCTGCAATGGTAACAATTTCGACTTTGATCCGAGCAACGCCTTTGCTGTATTTCCAAGCAAGCTGCTTGGCTTTGTGGGATGGACCTGGCTTGTGCAGATCAGGCATTGACCATTGTTTTGTTCAAAAGGGTGAACAACATGAAATTAATTCTCATCTATATATATATATATATATCAATGAAACAAATCGTATATGTGGCATGCATGCATGTGATATATATGGTTCAATTTTTTTTATGCACCATATGTTGAACAATTAAATGGTGGGGAACAATTCAGCCACAGCAACTCTACTATAGATTTTTTTCAATTTTCACCGTTGCAGAATCCATCTCATGAGAGCTGTGGTTAAGCCACGGCTCCACTCGAATAGACATCACTTCTAGAATCCTTCCACATGCAGGTTTGCATGCATGGAACTTTGTTCAGCCCACATGTGATCAACACATGTTGCTTCGTACCCAAATCGCATCCGCTGTATGGAGAGAAATAAAAACTCAATCTATATATTTTGGACTCATGATACTTGGCAAATTTGATTTGGGCTTTATTACCATATATATAAAATACCAGGGCTCTAAAGTGAAGTCTAAAATTTCAGAAATGACAACCCAGAATCGCTCTCCAAATCGTGGCTGCTCAGTTGTCATGGCGCTTGCTCCTGAGCTTCTTCTTCACCGGCTGTTCCGGTGTCTTGGCTGGGGATGCAGGCGGTTCCGTGGTCTTGCCTTTCGGGGTCTTTGTCTTATTCGACAATCCCTTTTTGGGTTTCTTCGAATTTCGATCCTTTTTGGATCCCCGAGCATTACCTTTTTGCGGTCGAGCTTTGCCCGAAGGCTTTTTGCCTGAACGAGGTTTGCCAACCTTCTCCTTAGTGTCCTTCTGCAGCTGCCTGCAGATAGCCAACTGTGTATATATGGGCAAATAGATTGAATCATATATACAAGTCCAAACTCTTTTGGGGTAATTTATGTGAAATCAACATGATTTGGAACATTTTGGAACCAAAGACGGATCGAAAATCATCGAGCACTTTTATAAGTGCAATCATTTTGAGTCATTTGTTCAAATGGCCCACAGGTGACAGCTGGCACCAAGAAATATTTATAAAGCAATTGATGGCCTGAAGCGAGCATCCAAGCCAATCAGGGTAGAGCACCTAAACCATCGAAGGGTTGGGCTCTGGGTGCATGGTTAACATAATACATCAATTGTATATATCAGGAAACTGTGGTAAAGCATGTGGTGTCTGATTGAATATATTTGCAGTGGAGTAACTGTTTCTTGACAGCATCCTTTTCGGCAGACACGTCAACAAAGAGCCTTAGATATACATACAGGCTTCAAAAATGACCAAAGTGGACCCAATTTTTTTTTTCATGCTGGAGCCTCTGTGTGGCTTGGACGTTTAAAGGAGCGGTGGACTAAGTACACCAAGAAAGGTCCTGATTCACCTTCACAAACTGTGTCACCGCCATCACGAATGTTGCGACATCCAGGCAATCCTGAGGTCAAGAAATATAGTGCAGGCAAATTGGGGGGTAAACAACCTGAGGAAACTTATGTTTAATACACCCATTTTCAGGGTCACATTGCCCCATCCCATATGAAGATTCATATATAGATCAATTGGTTTTCCAGATTCGCCAAACAAACCTTAGAATACAAAAATATCACCAAGTATTGGCAAGAATCCTTTGTGTTGCCTAATGAGGGCTGCTTCAATGAAACTACAGCTCACTGTTTCGCTACCAGCATAGATCACAGTCAACTTCTCCCAAGCATCACAATCACGGATGTATCCATAGAGCTCATTGTAAAAACGCCAGAAAGCACAGTGGGTATATCCTATTTTGTAGATGCATGGCTTGTTCTTCCGGAGAATCCGGTCTACAGAGTCAAAGCAATGAGCTAAAGTTTTTCCAGCAAGCATATTTGATTTTCGAGGTAAATCAAATTCCAGGCGGTCATCATTTTCTATCAGTTCAAAGCATGTAGTAGTCCTGGGAAAGGCCTTCGTCTTGACATCCAAGGCTATTCTCCAGTCTCGTTTTGAGCATCTCAAAGAGCGCGAAGCCACTCCTCGCAGCAAAGGCCGAAATTGGGTTTCTATTTACCTGGTGCATCGAATATGTATATCATCCATGGATATCCATGGCGTATATGCATGGCATATATATATATATATATATTCAAGACACAAATAAACAATTTGAACTCCATGGTATATATTATATCAATAGACCCGGGTCCCAATCTTCAGAAATCCAGCTGGCCTCTTGAGACTGAGTTCTTCGAATCAACAGCTGAAGCCTGTCCAGGTCCATGCATAGACATCATGTGTTTCATTTGCATTATATATACACTCAACCTGAGTGTCCTGAACTCAAGGCTCTTTCCATATTTGCGGATTCAAACATGGCAATAACACATCACTGGACACAAATGAACATATAGATGAACACTGACTATATATTCTGGCATGTTGGGGCCTGCCGGTTGTAATCAATAAGTTCTTGTAGCCATTGTTTCCCATCATCTTCATCATCAGCATTGATTGCCGCCATGGCTGGAATCAGCCAAACGTTGCCAAACCCATTTCCCCAAAGGTTGGCTTGATCAGGGAAACCCCAAATCCATCGATGTCAATGTAACACAAACATAGATTTCCTGAATATATAGTGTTTGACCTGCATGTACCCTTGGCATATAGTGTTTTTGGAACCTGGTTTGGTACCTTTACTGTAGCGGGGTCAGGACGGGATCATATTAATTGAAAATGTTGTTCGAATCAAAGAAGTGTACCAAGAAACTGGTCCAATTTGTCGCTTTTCAAAGTGCCATCTTTGTGATCCATCCGCATGTCTGTCAATTGCGTTGACAGGGTTCCATGGCTGGTGTTCATGTCGTTGAGAAGGTTGCCCATCTCTTGGTTCAACCTTGAGGGCTGGCAATGAGCTATATGCATTTGAACAGCCATCTTTTGGTTAAATTCATGCAAACATTATTTACAATAAATCACATGGGATTCCATCCGGCTGCATGTAAATGTCGATCCATTGGGCTAATTTAAGTCGATTGAGTCTTGGACTTAGAGGCATGCTCCCCTTTCATGGAGCCAAGCTGACCCAACATCTTCTCCACTGAAACAACCTTCTTGTGCAGGGTCGCAATGTAGTTCTCCAGGTCGACAGTTGGCTGGCGTTGCAGACACCATTCAGGAGACTGGGAAGGGGAAACCAGTTGCATGGATCAACAAAGATTTGAAAACATATACAACCAGGCCTGGGATCCCACAACTGTTGGGTTCGGCTTTGCCGCAGGCAACGAAACCAGATCTTTTCCAAGTCCAGGAGGAGCTTGTTTGGAAACCTTATCCTCAATTAAAACAACGCATCGAAGGATGATAAAACAAATCCATATTGAGGAATCCATAAAACATGCAAAACTACCAAATTGTGAACATGCATTGTTCAAAACATGTTGCCAAGATGAGTTGACTTGCATGTTTGTCCCTTTATATGTGCCTGACCATATAAACTGACGACCCCAAGCTAAATAACCAAGAATCTGCCAGCTCAGTTTCCTCAAGTTCTTTGGTTCTCTCTGCTTTCTTGTGGGCTGTCTTGTCTTCCGTCACCACATAGAATTCTTCTACGTCATCATCATACCGCCATGGTCTGGGGCCCGGTGGATGGTCTATATAGGAATAGAAATAACATTCACGCAGATATATCATAAACTATCGATCCAAACAATATCAAACAGTGATGGGGGAAGAATATCAGATCCTCAACATGCTACAGTCTATATACAATCTAAACATTATAAATGGGTCACCCCCCACACCTCACCTCACAAGGCTTTCAGGGAATTTCCTGCAGTAACTCGTTATTGCTTTGATCTCCTTCGCGGTGTACTGTGCTGACTTCTTCATGGCCTCAGCAGTCAACCACTTGCCGTTCACTTCGCTTTCCTTGCTCTCCATGCGCTCCTTTATCAAGCGGCACTTGGTTTGGAACTCCGCCTTATGGAGGTCACAAAGGTCTAATACAAAAAGATTGAGGCATGGATTTTTTTTTTCTCGGTCATTTGTATATCGATAATTAATCGGTTGGTCATCGGTCAATTTATATATAAATAGCATGCACCAGAATAACAAGATGCTAATATGTAATCATGAAGCTCGGATACGTTTGTAGGCATTGCGACTCGTGCCGTGTTTTGCCAGGCATTCAAGCAAGGCCATTTCCAAGACCTCTCTTTTAGAGCCTCCAGATTTGTACTCACTGACAATCTCGGCATCTACGTGAGACCGTCCCGACGGTTTCACTTCGCACATTCTGCGAGCCCTCATCCTGAGGGCATCTGCAGAAATTGCAACCTTAGATCAATTAATGGTGCATGCTAATGGGTTGAATGTATTACACAGTATAGGATCTGGATTGGGAAGATGGTTGAATATCATGTTGCTTGCATCAATCAACTTCACAAAGAAACACCAAAATAATTTAACTATACATTCAAACACTTTATATCATCAAATATCATCAAAGAAACAGTTTTGCCACCAGGTGTTGTCATGAATTCATCATCTTCACTCTCACTGTCATCATCTGATCCACAATCATCTTGATGTGCATCATGATCAGAAGGGTGTTCAGCAACGGAATCACGTCGATCGGGTCCTGTGAGTGGTTTCTTGCTATCAGCCTTGGTGGGTTTGTTGGCTTCATTACCTTGCTTCACCTGGGACTCCAACTCCTGGATCCGCTGTAAAAGAGCAGCTTCATTTGGGCTGGGGGTCGGCGGCGAAAAGGAGCTCATGGACTTTTCCATCGTGGCAATCTTGCTCAACAAGGCCTCTTGGGAACGGGCCTGAGCTTCCTGTGAAGCAGCCATCACCTGGAGGGACCACTTTTGGTCATGGAGTGTCATAAGCAGGGCATCCAACAAGAACATCATCATAGTCTTCTATATTTATTGATATTTATTCAGCTCATAGAAAGATTGTCAATCCTTTTGGTGCCATTATATACATGCAGATCGATATATGCACCATATATAGTGAACCTGTTGGGTGATCAAAGCGATCTGGTCAGCATCAAGCGGAGTCCGGGGAGACGTGTGTGGAGATACAGCAGCTGCAGCCAATTGCTGGGTGTCCTAAACTGGAAGCACTGGAAGGTTATAAGGTATATCTGATGGTTTTTCAACACCAAACATGAAATATTCCAATAGTTGAAAATATGGATTCCAAATATATAGCCAAAGAGTCTGCTGGGAGTGTCGGTGCGCTTGGTGACGCTGAACCAGGATTTGTGGCCTTTGTAGCAACCCCAATTCTTGTGGGAATTTCATGTAAGATTACATAGTTGTGAGACTATAGTTCCATACTTTGAGAAACAACGTATAGAACCCAAATAGAAACATCGTTATGCATCAAATAGTTCCGAGATTTTGACATCACCAATTGATCCAGATTAGCCACCAAAGGGGAACAGAACACAGGTCGTGTCTTCTCCGGAGAAGGATGCTCTGCCTTGACCAGCTTGGGAACCTGAGTTGGCAGTTTGATGGGCTGGGAACCACTATATATGGCATTCGTTGGGTTCTGAGATAGATCTATCAATATGTGGAGATATTCTATATATAATATATATGCATGAAGAACTATGTTGTGCCATTTTTTTGCAGCTGCAGATATATACAACAGCAGTATAGGTATGCGCTGTCACCAGACACAATGGAGTCAGAAAATAAACAAACCAACATTGCAATATTTTGTCCTTTCCATGCTTCAACAATTACCATTGTATATATACAACCATTCACACTCAAATGCTATTTAGATATATATAAAGACTATGACGTATATATATATATATATTGAGAGGTCAGGCTTTTTTCCCCAATTTCAAGTGAGCAGGATCCCAAATTCCCACTTTGCATCAAGAAGCTTCTGGCTTCTGAGCCTTTTTCATGGACTCCAACATGTGCTGTACCTGCACGAGGGTTGACTCAGCTCGTTTAAATTCAGTTTGGGCATGCAGGGGCTTTACTGACTATGTTATTTTGCTAACCTGGCTGCCTGCATGATACACTGTACATGTGGTTCATGCACGTTGGTTCCTGCTCCATGCAAAGTTTCCTTGATCAAACCTGGAGACCCCTTAAGTGAGTATATCAGTATACATTATACCCATTGACCATAAAGCAAATAGATGCAGACCATTTGGAAATATGGTGTTTGTTTCACACAAAGATAAACCAATTTATTGAATCCATGCACCCATCCACGCACCAGTGCTGTGAGGCCTGCTGAATCTCCTGCGGCTTCAAGTGCAGGCCAGCAATGCTAGCACATTTCTGAATCCCTTCATTCAGGGTTTCACAGGACCAAGCCCTGGAAGGCAAGGAAGTTACCAAGCTATCCCTCGACATAGCACGGGATCGACAGGGCTCAGTAAATCTACAAGTTTGGCCACGAAAAAACCCCTTTAGCCAAATGCGTTAGCAGGTATACGTATTTTCAAGGCAGTTGCATTGCTAAAACCATGACAGTTTCACATCCACTTTGAAATTTATGGGTATATCAACATCCCATTCTCATCACCTTTTGACGCTGTCATGGATCTGCATATGTCAGATCAGGTCATGCCTCCATGGTATTCCACAGAAACACATCGAATTGAGAAAATCTAAGAGGGAACCCACCATTTTCAACAGCTTCTGGTGACCCGAAAAAAAAAGCTAAAAAAACATCATTTTTTGCGTAATATTTACGTAATTTTTACATAAGTCGAACGCAATCTGAACGCAATTGAACGTAATTTGAACGTAATCTGAACGCAATCCGAACGGTTTGCATGTATTTACGTCCCCACAATGGTTTTTTACGTCCACTGCCGAATGTGATTTTTTTGGGTTATTTTTGTTTATCATGAAGGTTGATTAATTTTAACCATTTTTATAGGCGTGTTCTCCCAGGGTACCTGAAGTAGTGTGGGCTCCCCCTAAGCTTTTGATGAGTTCTGCCGGGATTCCAGTCTATGCAAAGCCTCGAAAGGCTCCGGAAACACACTGACCCATTCTTTGGGCGCAGAAAGCGACATGTTTCCACGCATGTATCGGATGGGACCCATGAGTTTGGCATCTGACCAGGTTTCCCAAGGAAGGTTGTAGAAAATTTTACAGCCATCATCAGTCATGTGCTGTAGGTCCGTGGGGCTAGGCTTCCCTTCACCTCCAGTGACCAAATCAGGGAACAGCTCACCAATCTTCTTGCCAAAGTCAACAGGGTAGGTCCTGAGATAGACTGATTCCTTTTGGTTTACATTGTACTGAATTGTATATTTGTATATAGAATCAAACATCAGAAATCACATATGTGCAGTTCAACCATCCGTAATCTTGAAAGATGTTCTTTCTCAACATCATTATTCACACATAAACCATGCATGGCCATGACCAATTAAGTCCATGACTGGCTGGATTTGAGCGCATGGGTTCCACAATATCCCTTTTTACCAGAGACCTTGTTGATTGTCTTCTTGACATACGTTGCCGATGCCGATGACGGCCCTTTCCCCTTCCTCTTCCAGGGGCCCAAATCCAGGTATTCAAAGTAGGCGTTGTTGGTCCACCCACGTTCTGGTTTTTGCGAAGGATGGCCAAAGTGGCCCATGTACCATTTGATGGAGTACACCTCAGTTGGAGAAGGCGATTCCAGGTGGAAAGGGCACAATGATTTGGAGTTGAGGAAATGGTTTTGGGAATCATATACATCATGTATATATATATATATAATCCATATCATGAAGTGGAATCGAATCTTGCTAATATCATGTCAGATCACATGATATACAACACTGAATGGGAATTGTTATTTAGAGCAATTGAAGTTTGTCATTTCCAGGTGAATGCAATGATGAATATATGATTTTTGTTTCCCATGAATCGTAATCTAAATGACTTGTTGTCACCTTTCACCCATCACCCAACATATGATCAACATGTATTATATAGATATATATATATATACCATATGCAATTTCCCATGTATACAGTGGCATGCCTTCAACAATTGAAACATGTTTGACCATACAGCCCAATAAAGCAAAAGCACCTTCGTTACTTGACAGAGCCATTTGAACCGGAAGTACTCACCCATAACACTGCTTTTTGGCTGTTCCAGAAGCCAACTTCCACCCAGTGCTGTGACAAGGGCCAGCAGTAAGACACACCTGGGAGGAAGGATTGGGTTCAACAAGAATCCAAAACTATATATATAAGAAGCATTGGAAACATTTTTTTTATTCGCCAATGTGTGCATGGTGTTGTCGTATTTCATCAAGAAAGAAAACATATACAACCACATGCAAAGAAAAGGCACCGGCTTACCATTGAATTGGCTACTTCCACATAGCGCCGGTTAACATTGCCTTCAGGCAATAGCACGGATCTTCCACTGGTGAATTGGTTTATGGATACCCACGATCCACATACACAAGCCCACACTGTGACAAAGTGGTCCTCCTTGCCCGACAGAATCAAATGCACAGCTAGCCTCAAACCACAGATGGACTCTTGAGACAAACAAACTGTATGTTGCACTCTGCCAACAAATAAAATATATATATGTTGTATAGTTGTAATCGATATCCCAATTAACAAGTTTCCTTACGTGCACTCAAGAAGGGGGGATGAAAGCAGGCGTAATATGCGTAATGAGCCAAATGCACTGAACAGAATCCACAGTGTTTTTTTTTCACACATCTATATAGGGTCTCCACACAAATCTAAGGCAAATACGCTAGTCCGGCATCTGACAGGATGTCCATAGGGTTCTGTTCAGGGCAGCGCATGTAGTTAATGTCGACCCCACATGCTGGCTGCGAAGTTGCCCGCATATGTCTCCAAGTATTGCCCTGTCCAGCGAAAAACTCGATGAACGTGAGCTCCTTCAGATGCATGCTGCTATCTATATACATGCAGGGATGTGCCATGCATGCAATGATGCAGGTGCACATGTTCCATGAACCGCATTTTTTAAAATTGCACCCAAACATGTACCATTTTTTTCATTATATATGAACATGCATCTATATGCAGGAAATGAAAATGGTTGTGCCTCAATCCATGTCTATATCCATGCATGCTTAAATGTGTATATGTATATATATATATATTTATATATGCATATGTATGGACATGCATGCAGATTTAGACCAATCCTCCATTTCACCAGAGTCAGTGGTCCTCACCAAACGTGTGCAGGTTTCCTGCAAAGCCTACCAAGATGACCAGCCAAATGAAGGCCTCAGAAATTCATGGACGGGCAGGGTATGCCTCATGTTTGACATTTATCATGCTAAAATTGAACTACAATTTGAATATGATTGAACATGTTTGAACTACGGTACATCTGGAGAGAATTCATGCATGCATCCTTTATTTGAACAAACCCAACTTGTTTCAATCATGGGGAACATGTACAAGTTCTGATGTTGAAGATTTGCCAATGTATTTGGAAAGGTATGTATATATATAGATATATATAAACACAAGACTAGTGGCCTTGGGAAGTCCCATGAAGGCCAAACGCTTGACCAGTTCTCCCATCCGCTGGCTGTCCATCATTGCGCCAAAGGATTTCTATAGCCAATTGACCCTTTGCAACTGAGTGGCACCCTAATGAGAACCAAAATAACTAATGGTTGAGGCCAAGCGGTTTGAATTGATACACATGCATGGGTGGCACTTAGAACATTCATTCCAACCTCTCCACCAAGCAATGACTGCACGTATATGACAATGATATACAT